TCAATAATTGTTCAATAAATTCTTCATAGCATAATTTTAATTTAATCAACGACATTCCATCTGATAATAATTCAACATCTTTAATTTGAAATGTACTTCCCGGCGAAAAAAGTACTTCATCTTCTTCTGCAAACGAACTGAATTTCGAAATATCGGCAAATGGTTTCGTAGTCATATTTGGATCAATTTCTATTTCAAACACAGCAGATAAAGTGCCAGGTGAGCATGATTTACCAGCAAATAGCATTGCTATATCTTTTGATAGTGATGTGGATAAAAATACTTTAGCAGAAAATAAATTACCAATATTATTACGAAGTTTTTGTAATTCATCATTTGACAGTTGTAATCCTCGATAAACAATTATTTTTTTATTAGATGGTTGTTTCCTCGATTCATCATATAACATATGCAATTGATTACAAAGATCTTGAATGAGACGACGAAGTTTGAATATTACATTAATATTAACCATTTTTAATGCCGAGTTTAATAAACGAAATAAAAAGCTTTGTTGAGTATACCATTTTAATGCATCTTCTGAGCGATAATATTTTTCAAAATTATCAATTTGTTGCATTTCAGCTGCGTTACCGTTAAAAAATTTACAAGTTTGAATCATTTCATCAATATCATTATGTGTTGATGGTATCTCGAGGAGGCATTTGACTAACAGTTGATCCAAAACAAATGCTGAATAATCATTGTTGTAAAGAACAGCGAGTTCAGATTGCTCTATTGAATATCAAACAATACCACACATCACTGGCTTAGAATTGTAGTCTAATTTCAGGTTATAATGGGATAAGAAAAATTTGAAAATCTGGGGACGATTCAAATCAGGAATAATCCCAAAAAGTCTAGAGTTAAGCAGGAAAAAACTTAATGCTGTCCGATCCACGATCTTTGACCAAATGTTAACGTATGCCTTTTCCTAAAAAGTATAATTTCACCCATGTTATGTCAAACGAAAGTCTGGTGTTATGCCAAACAGTCATTGAAAGTCGCTATTTTTAACGGTTTTCGAAAGAGGCCGGGAAAAACTTTTCGATAAAGTCTTTTTCTAGGAAAAGATGTTTGCAAAACATGTCATCCGATCCAATTTTGCATGGTGATTCAGAGTCTCATAACAGTGATGACTAAAGACTATCTCTATGGGTCGTATAAGATACGATCATCACAAATGGACAGGACGCAATGCCTTCGGCCGGAGAGTTTTTACTTGAAATCTTTTCCAATCGAAAGCCTACGAGATTCCTGTTTAATTTCAAAATGTCTAAGAAAAGATTACTACTTATTAAAATATTCTAAAGAAAAGTGTGTTAAATCAAGTGATGAGCATTGCTGTGACAATACCTGAGCCTGAGCTTTTCTCATTGATTCGCTTGCATAGTTGATAATTCAGTAAAATAGGTAAGGTGCTGCTAATTCAAAGTTTCCATAGAATTTTGTTTTTCTATGAAACACACATATTCTGATTCGCCGGGATGCGGTGATCACCTTTTAGTTCGATTAAAGCGCATCTTCATGGGGAAAAACTCGAAATACTGAGCATACATCGAAAAACGAAAAAACACCACCTAGACGAAAATTGGTTCTACGTTTTTCCCGTTTTGCTCTAGAACTCCGACAGTTTCTTTTTCTGAATCCTTGAGTGAAACTGATTCTGAAAATGCGTTTTAGAAATTTTTAGCACCTTGTCTTCACCTCGAAAAAAAACTATCTATAGGAACATCCCATAAATGATGAAATCGTTCTACAGTGGTTTTCTGGAAAACTCTGGGTATCTTCAAACTTTTCTAAAATGGTTTTCTGGGAAATCCAAGGCTTTAGCGGGAATGGCATGATCTGTAAACTGTTTGGTAGTGTTAAGGTACTTGTGGTTGATGGAGTCGAGCTTCTGAAGACGCACTGGCTATGTTTGTCCGTCTGGAAAATGTATAATGGGATTTTTCAAAATCTTACAGAAATTTAAATTTTTGTAGGCTTTTAATATATTTTCTAACGGTTTTAGTTGAGTGTACAGCATAGTTCGCAAGTTGTACAATCGATTGGTATTATTTAAATTAATTGTACAGCTCTCTAGAAAGATCTGCCACTAAAACGTTAGAATTGGCCGCTATAAGATTTGACTTTTCGGTCTATTTTGACTTTTCCTTAATGAATTTCAGGTTTTGAAATAGTTCAAATGCATGTAAGATGGGTAGAATTTGATGCTGAATATTGTACAGTTGTCAGTTTTTATTGAACACATCCTTAACAAAAAATCAGACTAAACTTCTAAAATCTATGTTAAATTCACCAACATTCTGTTATTTCATTTAGAACATTGCGAATGACACACTACTCTCTAAAAAAAATCGGTATTTTCAAAAACCAAAAGGGTATAGCGTTTTGCGTACAAAACCCATTTTGGTTCCCTATGAAATATAGAAAACGAAATTAAGTTTCCCTGTAGCTGCTAAACCACTAGGTTTTGTAGTGTACCGTTTAACAAGCAAACTAAAATACCAAGAGGATATTTCATATTCTAAAATACCTTTTAAGGGTTTTTCATTTTTGATAGCATACCCAAAGGGTCTACTAAAGTACAAACGAAGGGTATCCTACAGAAGCAAATAGGTTTTATGTTAATATTAGGGTACCATAGGGTATTTGACTCTCTCTGAAATATCAACATGGTTTCTTAGGATGCGACGAGGTTTTTTTGAAACTGAAAAACGGTTTTGGTTTTGTAAGTTATCAATTGTTTTATAAAGATAAGTTGGATGGTATTTTAAAGCACCAAAAAGGGTTTTTCTTAAGAATAAAAACCAAAGCTGGTATTTTCAAACATATAATACGCTTGTAAATACTAAAAGAATTATTTCTTTTTCGTTCGTATTTAGCTAAATCGTTTGGGTCTAGAACTGTACCAGAGTGCTATATTTATAATTTTTTTCCTGAAACCTTGAGTTTACCGGCATATTTTTCTGAATTAGTTGGTTTCAGAAATGCTGGATTTATTCATGCGCATTTATTAAATTAAACAAAGTGTTCTATTAAAAAATTTCGATCATTTTCGTTTTTTTCTAGAAAACAGTAGATTTCGAGGTAAATCAGTTCTGTCGAAACAGTGGCACTACTGTGAAGTGTAAAACGCATTTACTTTGAAATATATTGTTTTTTCGAAAAAACCGAAAATCTGATTTAGTTTAATAAATTTCGTTTCAAGTAAGTTATACGCATTTTTTCTCTGCCATGTCTAGCGATCTCTGGACATACTGCCCTAGTCCATATATATCTCTCATCGTGCTTTGTTCATTCATATACACAGACTACATTCTCCTTATATTGTATGTACACATTCTCTTCTTTTCTATTTATTCATTTTGGATGTACAACGGGCGAAAAATCTCCATATTCTCCCCTTTCAGTACTTACTTATTCATCACTGTACGTCTATCATACAATAGAACAGACGTGAAGTTCATTCTGTTTTCTTGTTTGTATTCATACATTTTTTGTCAATCACTTAGAACTGACGACTATATAAGAACGTGTTTCTCATTTTTTATACAGTTGGTGAGAGCGCGTTAAGCGGCGGGTAAAATGTCTTGTTCTTTCAAAAGAAACGGTCTATTCTTAGCTAAAGCCCGATGCTGCTCCAAATTCGTTTCATTGATCAGTTATCAACATTTCCATTAATTTTTTGCATATCTTTTTCTGACAGTCATTTCAGATAAGATCTCTTTTTTCTATGGACACGAATATAAATAATAATCCAAGAACGTGGAATGTCAGTGATGTAATGAACTGGGCAAAAACATTTATTGTCGACGATGCAATATTAAACAAATTCAAAGGTAAGGTTCGGTTTTTATGATTCGCTGGTTAAACTTCAAGAAGTATGAAAGTAGTTCCTCTTTCCTCGAATTGTGAAATATGAATGCGCTTGCCTTTTTCTCTGTTGAGTCTACCATAATCAGAACCATTCCGCGGTCTGCTTCTTCTGCTTCTGCTGACTCTCCCTTTTCAAGTTTCATGCAAAAATACAAATCATAGGAAATAGTTCAGAAATATTAATTCCGTGTTGTAAAACTCTATTGAATATTTCATTTATCCTCTAGCTTAATCTATATATATTTATTCCAAATGAATCAACATAATTATCAGTATCTGTGCCCATTTTGCACAAATAACAGACAGTTTCCAACGTTCCGAGACCTTTTTAGTCATATAACTTTTTATCATTATTCCGAACAGAATTTTTCAGTAAATTGTGATCTATCCAATGAATGTGGAAAGACATATAAGACATTTAACTCTTTTAAAGTGCATGTATATCGAAAGCACAGAAATCTCCTTCAACCAAGCTTATTCTGTTTCGAAAAAAACGCAAATGAAAATGATCATGATCCTGTCGACGTTGACAATCCGGATTCGAATGAATTACATATCGAAACTCAGTCATCGGACGACGAGGAAGAAGAGCGACGTATTCTCTTTGACGATAATTATGAAGATATGTCTCCACCTACTACGCCAGAATTTGGAATTCCAGAAACGTATACCATGAACGATTTTCAGAAACATTACGCCTTATTTCTCCTCGAATTACGAGAAGAACATCTTCTACCACTTCATGTTATTAACTCTATTACTTGTAATGTAGTTCATCTGCTAGATATCGTTTGGAAACTACTATCTCAAAAATCAGATAAAAACGATATTCTGGCACCAGCAGCCACTTCGATCCATTCATGTGCTGGTCCGTCTGTACGTCTCGATGTGGCAAAGAATGTTATCGATGAAATAATCAGTCATGTGCAAAGTACCACAAAAAGTGAATATCATTTTAATAAATTATGTGAAAATTTTTTCGGTTATCTGTCACCAACAGAAATATTGCTCTCAGCCCCTCCCGCCACTCAATCAGCACCAACCACTCTTAACAGAAGCAGTCAAGATTTTGCTTATTATGTGCCCATTCGCGAATCTCTGCGACGAATATTAGCTAAAGAAGAAATGATACCGTTACTGATCGACAACATTCAACAACAACAGCAGCAGACAAAGAAAGATGATGATCTAATGTTTTCTTATCGTGACGCGCAGAATGGTAGAAATGTTAATAGTAATTCATTTCTACTGCAATTGTATACCGATGGCGTTGGTCTGACCAATCCAATTGGTCCTAAAAAAGATATGCACAAAGTCACATTTTATTATTATTTATTAGAGGATATACCCGATATCTTTCGATCGTTGCTTCAGTGCATAACGTTATTGGCTATGATTAACACTGATTATCTCGAGAACAAAGACTATTGTCATCGATTTTATGAATCTCTCATCAAGGATCTGAATGATTTACAACAGCACGGTTTAAGATTTGATACATTTAATTCCCAGTTGATGTTTACGTTCACGTGTGTTTCGTCTGACAATCTCGCAGCTCATCAGATTGGCAACTTTCAGCAAACATTTTCCTCCGGTTATTTCTGTCGTCGGTGTCTCGTTCATTACGACCAACGAACTATGTCGTTATTTAATATTGAATTTCCACAAAGAAACGCAACCGAACACCAACAGCACGTTCAACAAACGATTCAAAACAACGATGATTTACCTGTCTTTGGTGTAAAAGGTCCAAGTGTCCTTCAACAATTAGATAATTATAGTCCAATACGTAGCCTTCCAGGCGATGCTATGCACGACTTTGCTGAAGGTGAGTGTTGCTTCATTCTTTTTATTCTGCGTGGGATCTCTGTTCTGTGGATATAAAGTACGAGGATATGCCCAGTTTCGAGAGAAGATTTGTTTTTCTGCGCTGTATAAAATAGTTATGCCAAAAAAGCGATTGAAACAAGCAACGGAATACTTTCAGGCTATATTTTTAAATTTTTCGCCATCTCCAGTAAGATGTTTTGTGGATTTCGTTAACTAACAAGTTTTTATTTTGTTCTGCTTATTTAGGAACGATTCCTATGATTATCGTCAGCATGCTGAAAGAATTATCCAGAAAAAGACTAATGACCTATGCTCAAATAGAACATCGTACTGCAAATTTTAATTATGGAACTAATGACAAAAGTGACAAGCCTCCATCTGTAAAAGCGAAACATTTACAAAACGATCGATTAGTGGGAAGTGCATCTCAAAAAATTTTATTTTTTCGTCTATTTCCATTGATTTTTCATGACGTAGCCACCCAACTGGACACATTTAAGTTATATTCAATACTCCGTGAAATGCTCGAAATCGTCCTGGCTCTACCATTAAGAAAAAGCTGGCTTCCTTATTTAAATACTCTAAGTAAACAATTTCAGTCATTATTGAAAGAAATACTTCCGGACAAAATGCGTCCAAAAGTACATTTCTGTACAGAATATTCGACAATCATTCGAGATTTCGGCCCTTCGACGCGTTATTGGTGTATACGATACGAAGGTCGTCATTTATATTTTAAAAAGATTGCATTACGCACATGTAATTTCAAAAATATTACCAAAACGTTAACCACGAGAAATCAGTATCGTCATTGTTTATCCTTATCCCGATCCTATTTTTTGAAATCTTTCACAGAGGCATCTGGGTCAAAATTAGAAAAACTCGTTAATTATGACATTAATATCAAAGAATTATTAAATCAAAAATTTCGTATGGACTATTCATCACAATCAACGATTCTAGAATGTAAACAGCTCCATCACAATCATGTGCTTTATAAACAATACTCTGTTATCGTGTCGGACGTGAAACACGAGGAAGAAATCCCACTATTTTTTATCATTCATCATATAATCCGTGTAAATAGTAACTGGATTTTAATAGTCGAAAATTTAGAAACAGTCTCTTTCAACGAACACTTGTATGCATATGAGATACAAAGCAGTGGTATTTTTAACTTAGTTTACCCGGAGAAAATTCAGTATTTTCATAAGCCATTAGATGTTTACCAAATCAACAGTTCCTCTTTTGTTTCTCTTCTATCCCGAGTAACAAAGCATTAGCGCGTAGGATCTTTTTCAGTTTATTTGCTTTATTTTACTTTGACTATATTAATGGCAATTCCAGTTTAAGGTCTTATGAGTTAAACTTTTAACAGAAGCAAAATTTTTTGAGGAAGAAAGCGCTCGATTTTGATTGTAAATGTAATGAATTGTAATGAATTTCTCAACGGTGGTTTGGATTCCACTAAACAGGAGTGCTCCATGAAGAATTACAAAAAAAACAAGTTTTTTCATTAGACTCGTGATCGTAATATAATTCTCCATGTTTTTAGGATTTAAGGAGGCACGCATCCTGCGATTGTAAATTCTAACCTAGACATTCCTGACATGAATTTTTTTGAGAGAATTTTTTCTGTCTCTTGTTCGTGGATGGACTTCACCTTTTCTTTCGACTTTTAAGAGTTTCCAATGTATTTAGAAGACAGGGATAACGCCTACTTAATGATAAAATTTATAATTGTTTCTCTTTTTATTGCTTAGAAGCCGAGATCGACGGTGAAACATTATTTATTATGACAACCCCAGCTGTTATTTCATTGATTTTCCCCAAATTTAGTCAGCAGGCCTTGTTTTTCCATCATCGTGATTTATTTTTAATTCTGTACCAATATTCTCAACGTCATCGTCGTATGGCACAAGCACTGGTATTTCTACCGATGATTTATTGGATAATTTAACCATTTTGACCGAAATTAATTATTCGACAGATGAAAAAGAATCGAGTAACTTAGATCATGTTGATACATTGGATGAACCTCGGTCGGAAACCACTGTTACGTCGTCAAATGCTATCACAAAGAAGAAAGTTGATCTTGCCTATCCTTATGCTGTCCCTGTCCTTCCAGTTACCGTGCAGCAAGCTATTATTGACGGAGAACTGACAAGATTTAACAGTTATTGCAGTTATCGAGCTATTCTTACTGATGCTATATTTCATGATTTAACAAAAAATTTTAATCTGCTATAAAGGTTCAGTTTTCCTGTCTCAAGTTTGTCGTACTAATGTTTTCATTTTTCTATTTTTAGTTATCCAGATAAACGTGATTACGAAAATGTGGTGAAAAGTGTGTTAAATGCATTGAAATTGCCGATTACTTCTGAAAATATGGTACGCATCAGCTTTATCTTTCAACTGTTCAGGGTTCTCGGGATTTTTCGAGAGAAGCGAAACTGAAAATTCGATCGAAAGCATTTTTTCCTAAGAACTGGAAGTTTTCCCCCTGTGAATGACGTGGAGAAACTTATGGCAGACTCTTAGCAAACTTGTGGTAGAAAGTCCCAATTTATGATAGTGGGAAGCTCGTGCATGTCCCCATTAAGTGAAAACTCTTTTACAGTGTTGCCTTTATCTCTTCAATGCTCTTCTAGAAAAATTTTCAAATCTCGTTGTTTGCTAGAAATCCTCTCGAAAAGATGTGCAGCACTTCATCCTCAGTACCACCTCAGGATACCTTTATTTTATTTCTATAACTGTTTTCTTATAGAGTTCATGGAAAAGTACATTACAAGCAAAATTTAAACGACAACGGAAACCCTTGGCAATGACAAACGACGAAGTCAAAGCGGCAAAAGAGAAATTTTCACGAGAAAGTGGTGGAAGACCTGTAAAACGAAAAGATGAATCATTGGCTGAAAGGCGTACAGATAGTCTGGTAAGTCAATTGCTGATCTAGGCTAGAAGAAGGTACTTAACCTTGTTTCTTTTCTTCTCTTTAAGCTTGTTCTCCAAGGTGACGAATCAGACGATGCCACTCTTATGAATCAGATGACATTAGAATTAGAGCAACCAGAACAAGATCTCGATAAGTTAAAACAATTTTGGAAATCTACACTTAAATCAAGAAGAGATCTTATTCGAAAAAATAAAATTGCTGATGTATTACAACTGTATCCAGCTTATAAAATTCCAGAGTTGGTTAGTCGTATTTTACGGAATATTCGTGTCTAAGAAAAAACTTTGCATTAAGACAGGATATCAGAAGCAGATCTCCTTTGATGAGTTTAGTGTCTTCCGGAGTTAAAGGCGCAGCGGAACTTCGAACTCACTATGCTTTTCCTAGCTGAACGACGTCTAAATAAGAGAAAAGCACCTCTTTAGTGCGTGTGACTTCAGGTTAGATGCCATTTGTTATTTTTCTTCATTAGATATTTTATGAAGTTGAGCTAACTCGAAAACTGGATATCCGAAGAAATACTCAAAAATGTTTAGCTGTATTGTATGGAAAATTAGTAGCACACGATAAAACATCGTATTTAACAGGTAAGATTATTTTGGGATTGAAATAGCCCGACTTCGAATGCTTTTCAGTCAGAAAAAAGGGCTTTTTTTTGCTTTTGGGAGCAGGATCTTTTTCGTAGATTTCCGCGATTAATTGCTGTTTTTGTGTTGAATCGGAAGGCTTTCCCTCAAAAGACAATGAGCCGTATCACACTTAAAAATTTATGTTTTGATACAGGATGTAGTTCAAATCCGAATTGAAAACTTATCAGCCAAAGCGGGCGTTGCTTTACTTCGAAGGTGGTTAAGCAAAGTTTAAAACACCAGTAGAACTTCCAAAAATCGATACTTTATATCTCGGACTATTAGATCCAGTGGCTTGCTAATCAAAAGACCTCATATTTGCCTCTCTTCTGT